AAAAAAAAAAAAAAAAAAAGAACACATTTTTGCAAGTCCCAACTCTACTTACCTATCGCAGGATCTGGATAGGGCAAATCCTGAGGAGAGCTATAATAGGCCTCAAGAGTGAAAGGTTCCTTTCTATAAAATGTGAGTACTTTAGAGAAAGGTGTACTGTGGTTTTTTGAAAAGACTTCACAGTCACTGAATGAAAAAAAGACAAAAGTACACAATTTCAGGAAGGCCATAACAATTCACTTATTCCCATATATTCTAGGTTTGCAATGATTGCATAGCCCTAGTTACTCTTCTCTACTGCCATTTCCAAATTATACAAGTTTCCCAAAAAAATTGTAAGTATGTGTATCAGTTAAAGTAAAAAGTAATGTATTTAAACAGGCAAATAAAGGCATCAATTACTTTGGTAGAATCAAGTACAAGAAACTACATAAAAACACTAATTTACTGAAGACTAAGTTAGTTAAAGTTAAGTATTTACTGCTTCATATACACTAACAAAATATTACAAATCTGTACCCATGAATGTTGACAGGAGGCAGTGTTTTACTTAGACTAAAATTTGAGTATAAAAATGAAACAATAAATGTCATTACCTTGACCCTTCTTCAGCTGGAGAATTCCATCTCAGAGATATTGGATATGGTACTACATCAGTGATAGAAAACTCTCTGACTTTGAAAGCAGGCGATAAAATTGCACACTAGAATAACAATTATATAAAATTCCACTGGATAATGTTAAACATTATGAACTGATACCATAAAACCTATATGTACTAATTTCAGCTGGCTATCATCAATGGCTTTTAAACATTTACATTAATTTAATGGTGTTTAAATACGGTTTTACAAATTTGTCAAATTACAAATATAATCCAGAACTAATTTTTCCATTAATCCCAACCTTCATAAACTAAAGTATAATGTACTTCACATAAAGACAACAGAAAACATGCCAAATTCTAGTAACATTTCAGGCTTAGCTGAAATTTATTTCTAATAAATTCATTCTATTACATGTTATAAAGTACAAATTTATTTATGAATGCCACCTCTGATATAATTTTAAAACAAAATTTAAAAAATTTTACACCCTCTGGTCACCTTAAACTAATCTCTGGTTATTAGTTGGATACATGAAATCACTACTGCCTTATTACTCTGACCCTCATACGGTTAACTATGAAAGAAAGGAGACTGACCTGCAATGCACAACCTCGTGTAACAGCTTCATCAGCATTTAGTGTTGTGCTAAGTTCTTTACCAAAAAATTTGCTGATCTTCTCTTTGACTGCAGGGATTCGTGTTGCACCACCAACTATCTCCACTGCATAAATATCTTCTTTCTTTAGCTCTATTTTAAAGCAATTAGACATTTAGATTTAAACAATCTTTGGATTAGTATTTTACAGTGAAATAAAAGAGCAACATCTGACCACAAAAACTCACAGATGTGTAACAAAACCCCACCCTTGCCTTTATTCCTTCAAAAAGACACGTGTGCACAGGTATGTGGCAGCTGAAAACTACTATTTATGTTTTCATGCTGAAGATACTGGGGGCAGGGTGTTGTACACAACATTGGGATTTAGGAGCGAACCAGGACTATTCACTGTAGTACAGTATGCAGGTCCTGCAATCTCAAACAGTCACAACACAGAGAACTGTTGAAATATCAATAGATAAGCTGGCCTTGAGGAAAGTAAGTCTCAAAAGACTGGGTTACCCCTGACATGGCATGAATGAAGAACAGCTAGAGATGTACATCTAGTTGCTCCAGCAATCTATGCAGAAAATTACAACAGATGTACAGTGTCCTCCTATCGTAAAGAAAGCAAAGTCAAGGCTATGCTGTCACTCATAAAATAGCTCAATACCACCTGATTTCCCCAGTCACATAGTAAGCACTAAGTAGCGACAATTGTTGAGGTCAAAATGTGTTGTCCCATGTAGAAAGAACATGCCCCCATTTGCCATAATCACTGATTATGAGTTGAGCCAACGTCAAGCTGACTTTCTATCTCAATGTTCTAAAATAGTTAACAACCAATATAACAGTAAAGTCTAGGTAAATTTCTGCCCAAGATTTTGGGAGAAATTAGCAATATATGCCAAAATCAAACATTCACCTTTTGGCCCAAGATAAAGTGCATTATTTAAGAATGTGGTGATCCTATCCTTAGTTTGCTTTATTTCTCATTCAGCAAACAAAAGATTCATTGACAGAAAAAACGATCAGAGAGCAGCAGTGCAAAAGATGCTTATCATCATGAAATTTCTGAGACATCAAAATCCATCTGAGTCTGAACTAGGTTTCCTAGGACACTTGTGTCCAATATGATGAGTAGGGGGACTGCTCCAGGGAGAAGATACAGAACAAAGGCTTAATATAAGCACTAAAGACGTTCATGAAGTCCTATTTGCAAAACTGAAAAAATAACCAACTACTTCAGATGCAAAAACAATTCAACCTCACAAATACTTACTGGCTTGTTCCAAAACACTCCGAAGAGGCGGCTCCACTCTAAATAAGAGATCATCACACATTTCCAGAAATTTGCCTCTGTTTAAAGAACATAACAGGTTAAACACATTCTATGCTTATAAGGAATAATGTCCATAATAAAAATAATAACCAGCATTAGCAAGGAGGTAGAAAAAAATGGACCCCTTACACATTTCTCATGTGAATGTATGATAGTGTACCCACTTTGGAAAAGTGTGCAATTCCTCTAAATGTTAAATAGACTTAACATATAACCCAGTAATTCCACTCTAGAGAAATGAAAATAAGATCACACAAAACTCTACTAATTTTCCTAGAAGCATTATTGATGCAGCCAACAAAAACTGCTAAAAGCCCTAAAGTCCATCAAAAGTATTCAGCAATAAAAAGGAATAAATTACAATAAAGGACCAAAAGGTATTAGACAAATAAATCAATTTCTCAAAATCCTAGGTAAGGAGCCTCTTGTGATGGCACAAAAGGTCAAAAAAGCACAGCACTATGAAACCACTCCCAGCCACTGCAGCATGAGGTCAGCCTCCAGCCAGGGAGGTGCAGAACAATCCTGGTGCAGAACAATCCTGACCTGCCCACTGCTCCCCTCCTGTATTTCCATCAGTCCACTTGTTCTGTTTTCCACCCTGATGACTCTGGTGAATCTTCTCACCCCACCCCCACCTCTGGCCTGTACCCCAGTTCTTGTATACATAAATAAATAACTCTTTAAAATAAAAACATGTAGGTGAAAGAAGCCAATCAAAAAAGGACATGTATAGCATGACTCCATTTCTAGGAAATGTTCAAAGAGAAAAGACCAGTGGCTACGAAGGGCTTTAATAAAGGAGGAAAAAGAGATGATACAAGAAGACTGTAGATACAAGAAAACTGTAACGAGTACCTTTTCTTCTTTTCTTTTTAGTTACTATGTTTTCGAGTACCTTTTCTTCTTTTCTTTTTAGTTACTATGTTTTATTTTTTAGATCACTTTTAAGCTCAAGGGAAATAATAGCAAAGTTTGAAGAATTCTCATACACCCTTCACTCACCATTCTGTTCCCCAAAGCTAATACATACATATTAGGTTTCTATGTTTTAATAAACATCTGATATAAGTATCTACCAATCCAGTTCCATAAGGAATAGTTTCACTGCCCTGAAGTCTCTGCATCCCTTCATCCCTACCTCCCCTGATTCCTTGCAAAAAAATGGTCAATCTTTTTACTAATAGTTTTGCCTTTCCCAGAATGTGATACTGTTGGAATCATACAGTATGAAGTCTTTTCAGAATACTTGTTTTACCTAGAAATGAGTCCCTCCATTACTTTTCCTAGCTAATAGCTCATTTGCAGTTTCTTTATGCGATAATGAAAATACTGTAGAAGTAGGATGTGGTGATTACAACTATCAACATTGGTGAGGATGTACTATAATTATTTTAGCAGGCATTTACAATGAATTTTATTCCTGAAAACAAAAATTAGAAAAGAGCCTGTGTACATCAACAGAAAAGAGTAAACCAACAATGGCATACACTTCTCAACAACAGAGGAGAAACAATGACATATGCAAGAACTAAATAAATCTTTTAAAGTTTTATTACAGCAAAAAAATAAAAATAAAAACCAGACCACATCATTCCACTTATAAAATGTTCTAGAATGGTAGAACAGTCTGATTCAACCTACAATTCTCAAAAATGAAGGAAAAAATAATTACAATTGTGGCTGCCTCTATGGATAGAGGTCAAAGGCAACTTTTCTGTGGTGACAGTCTATTTCATGAAAAGATACTACTTACAAAGATATATGCATGTCAAAACTCAGCAAATGGACATTTAAAACAAAATGAATACTTTACAAGTATTTAAAAATATCGAAAGGGAGGAAATACTATATAATGTTTAAGACTGGTTAATATGCAATCAGTACTCTGGGAGTCATGTAAGGTGAGATGTCTGCCATTTACTTTGAGATGCATCAAAAATTAAAAACTTAAATAGATAGGATGGATAGATGATAAAACAAGTAGAGTAACTGGCATCAGTAGAACTGGAGTGGCAAAGCAAGGGCATTCACTGTAAAATCCTTTTAGTTCTATAAAGGACTGATCACAAAAGATATACAAAGAAATGATGAAACTCAACAATAAGTAAACAACTCCATCAAAAAATAGGCAGAAGAGCTAAAAAGAAACTTCTCCAAAGAGGAAATGCAGATGGCCAACAAGCATATGAGAAAATGTTCAACATCTCTCGTAAGGGAGATGCAAATTAAAACCATAATGAGATACCACCTCCCCCCAGTGAGAATGGCACATCTTCAAATAACTAGCAGCAACAAATGTTGGCGAGGATGTGGAGAAAAAGGAACTCTCCTGCATTGCTGGGGGGAATGCAAACTAGTACAACCACTATGGAAAACTGGAGGTTCCTCAAACTGCTAAACATGGAGCTTCCCTATGACCCAGCAATCCCACTCCTAGGTATCTACCCAAAAAGACACAAAAACACTGAATCAAAAAGACACCTGCACCCCCCTCCCATGTTTATTGCTGCTTTATTTACAATTGGAAAACATGGAAACAACCCAAAGGCCCAAAAGTAGGTGACTGGGTTAAAGAGATGTGATCCATATACACGATGGAATATTACTCAGCAACCAAAAAAAAAAAATAAACACATGCCATTTGCAGCAACATGGATTGAGCTGGAAAAGATCATGCTTAGAGAAGTAAGCCAGAAAGAAAAGGAAAAATACCAGATGGCTTCATTCATAGCAAGAATATAAAGGACCAGGGGAGAAAATAATAATAATTATGAACAACTATATACCAGAGACATTTTATGAGGGTAGAATGGGAACAAAAACGTTAGCGAGAGGGAAGTGCACTGGACTATGGACAATCACACAGGTGATTTGGTGATGGGAAACCCACGGGGATTACAACTGAGATAGGAAAATGCACAAAATGATGTAAAAATAAACTAATATATTATTTTAAAAAATAAAAATCCTTTTAGTTCTGCTGTGTTCATATTGAGAAGCACATCCAGTTGCTCCAGTACAGAGGACTCTACAAAGATAGCAGAAGCTATGTTTCTTTTTTTTTTTGATTTTTTGAAATACAATTCACATACCATAGATTTCAGTAATTTAAAGTATATCATTCAATGGCTTTTGTATATTCAAGCTGTGCAACCAACACCCCAATGATTTTAAAAACATTTTCATCACCCTATACAGTTATTTCCCAAATTTCCTAATTTACTCTCCAGCTAGGCCTAGATAACCACTCATTCTAGGTATTTCATAAAAGTAGGATTACACAATATGCAGTCTTTTCTGAATGGCATATTCCATCTTGTATTACACAATATGTAGTTCTTACTGGTTTATTTCATCTTGCATAAAGTTTTCAAGTTTATGTGTTAAGTTGTCCCTATTACAACATGTATTGGCAACAACACTTTTACAACTGCCAAATAAGATCCCACTATATGGACACACCACATTTTGTTTATCCATTTTACCCATTGATGGACATTCAGATTGCCTCCATTTGGGGGCTAATACAAATGGACAGAGACTAACCACCAACAGTAATAATCCCTCCATGACATCAGACTTTGTGCCAAAAGAAACAAGGTATAAAATTAACCTGAAACTCCAGAATTAACAAGAACTCCACAGGTCAATTTGAAAAAAGTACCTGAAATCAGGGGAGTTAGGCACATTCCAAAACAAGAGACTATAAAAAGCCCCTAAAACAGTATACAATGACCATGGTAACTAGAGTTCGATAAACTCTCTACAGTGACCAAGTTAAAGAAAAGGCCACAGTGTGGAAAAGCTGCTGCTAAGGAAACCCAAACTGAGGTTTTATCTACAATAGCAGACAAAGATATGAGGGTGGGAAGAAGACTTAACGCCATTTTTAAAAATGTTTCATAAAAACAAAAGAGGCATGCTGGAGCAACAAAATTAGAAAAACTCTAAAGTCACACTTCTTTTCTATAAGGTTAGGAATGCTTATTTTATATAAAATGAGTAAAATAGGCAAATACATACACATAAAATAGACTGCTTAACCCTCTAGGGGTCAGGGAGCTAAAGGCAATGGAGACTGCAGATACGGAGATTTTGTTTTTGAGGTAATAAAAATAATCTAAAATTAGATCATGGTCATGGGTTGTACAACTGTATAAACACAGTAAAAACCACTAGTTATATACTTTAAAATGACGTTATGAATTATATCTCAATGAAGTACAGGAAATCAAAAAGCAACAAATCAGAACTAGACTACTCAAAGAATTAGAAATAAATAAAACTATAAAGTACATAGCATAAATAAACCCAACAACAAATAGTAGCATGAAGGAATTAAGGAGACAGAGAATGGCAACTAAGAACCAACATACTTATATAGGAGGCCTCAAAGAAGAAAACAAAATCATAAAAACAGAATACTAAACAATGTAATAAATCCAGCAATGTAAAACTTACTGGAAAGTGTAAAAGTTGTAAGGCTATAAATTGGAAAAGGCTCACTGCATACCTGCGAAGAATTGAGTCAAACCAATGAACATTAAAACATATATAGTAACAGTATTACTAGAAAATAAATTGGGGCATCCATCAAAAAGAACAAGTAATGAGTAACAACATATTGTCAATGCAATATGCCTAAACAAAATAAGGCTCTATGCCATTTAAGATATTCAATACAAGTCTGATGTTCTATCCAGCTGAGGTAACTTAAGAAAAAATGTGGGCAATTGTCATCAACAATCCAGAATTTAAAGAACACTGTTCACCTATACCACTCCTTAGGAGGTTATTAGAGAATATCCTTCTGAAACCCGAAATGATGCCGCCTCACCTGCTGCACCCCTCAGTTTATTTCAGTGTATCTGCCTGCTCTGCTCCCCAATCTGTCTGGTAAATCCTCTTCCCATACTTCTGGCCTGTACCCCAGAACTTTTATATGCAATAATAAATCTTTTTAAAAAGAAAATGAAAAATACCTAGAAGCAAAGATGGGTCAAACACTACACGACATACACTTCAGCGACATCTTTAAAGACAGAGGACCCAACGCCACAATAGTGAAGGCAAAGATAAAT